ACTTTGGCGTCAAATCAACTAGTTCGTAGCAACCTACGTTCTATACCGTTTATTTCCCGGCTTATTTCTATGAAATTCGACAATGGATAAGTTGTCTCAAGCTTTGAAGATCATGATGATAAGGTTCACAACTGTTTCAATCATAATATGCGATTCATCCACCCATTACTTCCTTCATGTTGATATGGAAGGAAACAACCTACCGTTTGCCGCATTTTTAAAATGAGGCCGTGAAATAAACGGTTTAGGACGAGGGCTACCATGACTCAATTGACTTCACGCCAAAATGCAATGTCAAGACAACTATCTAAGTAGGGTATATGGCAAGAGAATCGTAATTCGCCGCGCTGATAGGCATCGCGTGCGACGTCGCGCCCACAAACCACGATGATTCCAGGTCTAGATGAGGGGCATTGTAGAACCGAAGGTAGTCATTCATGTTTCCAGTTTCTTAATCCACGTAAATCCGGTGCTCCAATGGACAGGCAACAAGCGAAAGAAAATGCCGCCCCCGTCGCCGCGCGCGGCACAGCGGCAAAGTACGATCCTATTGCCCGTTCTCCACTAAAGATACCAGCGGGCTCGCGCGCAGTGCTGCGATTATACCCAGTAGGCACCGATTCTACTGAAGTGAATGAGGTGCAGTACAGGAGATTCACGTTGCGGCCCAACACACTGATAGCGGTGTATTCACTAGCTAGTTGACTCGGCATACCGCAGCACTTCCACATCTAATGAATTTGATCCTGGTGCAAATATCGCGCATGTCATGTTACTTCCGTGAGGGATCACCGCAATGTGGATCTCGCGCACTATGTACACCCACATGCATGGTTAAGCATCGCCTGAGCGCCTTTCCTTTCACACGCGTGTATAAACAAGAGTATAAACAAACGCTGCAGAGGTACCTGACCAAACAATCTCTTCACTCTACAAAACAATAGACCATATATACATTTATTATAACAAGAACAAACAAGTAATAACAAACTGCTATTTACTCGAAACGAAACCTATAAGTACCTATATTAAAAACGGCGCTGTTTGGCTCAGTGGGGGCACCGAATGGTACTCAGCTAAGCTGTATAGCCGCCTTGTAAGGACTTGTGAATTCCTGCAGCCAAAGTGATACATTTGTACCATTTCGCAGCTCCAAAGGAGTTTACAAGTATCACCAAAGCGATACCTGATATTCAACATTAACTAACAAAAAGAACTAGCGCTTGTGCAAAACGCCCCCTCCAAGCCGAACAATATCGTAGAAGCTCTTTAACCATGTCGCATATACTGGGAAATCCCGCACCATTACCCCTAACAAAACAATACTCGAATCATAACTATGCAATACTGACTTTTAAATCGAAAGACACGTTGAGAAATTTAAAAAAGAACTATCACCAAAACTACTCTGACCTTAGAATCATCTCTGGATCACACCGAACCGGTAGCTTTTTGAATCACAATACATAACGCAATAATCGATAATTATACTACAACAAAACTAATTGGGTGCTCACAACTGGAGAGGCGATTCTATCGTGAAATAGGGCAGCGTTCAGACTTTGCGATGACGCGCACGCTACAACAGTAAGGGCGCCCGATGCTGTAGACACCAACGTCGTCGCAGAGGGGAACTGAACAGCGCTAGCCGCTTGCGTTATGTGAAAGTATGGGATAACAGTAGGGTAGGTGCTGATTCCACATAACCTGGTACCCTCATACTTCTCTGTACTCTCTCAATGCGCCAGCGGCCAGTGCCGATCAATACCATTTTGTGTGATTAGGCAATGCGTACCCTCCTATTCCCTCTTACTTTCTCAATACAGCGTCGGCCGACGTCGATCGATTCCTACCTACGGCTGCGTGCGCCGTCTATAGTGGCGGCGCGCCGTTGCAATTGCAGTACGTCGACGCCGATACAGCGCATCGTCGAGAACTATGAACGCTGCCCACGTTCATACTTC